TTATGGCGCTTAATGAATCGGTTCACCCATTTCTCACCAATGGTGGCAGTAGCATCTGAGGATAATCGAGAGCAATAGCTGTGCCAGATAGCGTATGGTTGAAATTCGCGGAGGTAGGCCACGTCAGTCCATATCAAGAATCCATTTTGAAAGTGTAGTTTCTTCAGTATCTGTCAATTTTCGACAATTTGCCATTGAATCTTTGCAAGAAGTGGTCCCATTAAGGCGTGTCCCAAGGGTCCTTCGAGGCACATCAAACGCATCTGCAGCTGCCTTTTTTAATGAGAAAAGACCTTTCTTAGAGGCCTCAATTGCCAATTGCATACGCCCTTCCTTTGATATATCAGCCATGGCATGGTGCGTTGAAAACAAATCGCATCGAATTTGATTAGGGGGTGGTGGTGGATGACATGGCAGCTCGGTGTCCGATTACGTTAGTTACCTAATCAAGCTTACAAATAATGACTCACGTGATCGGAAGGGGATGCGCCCGAGTCCGGGTGCTGAGAAAGAATTGCGTGCGTGTTACCGGGACCGGAAAGTCCTCGTTCCGAGCCCGTTATGACCGCATCCTCCCCCGCGATTTCTCCAGAACACGGCGCCGCTGGCTGCTGCCGTTGGTCGGCCTCGGTACGTGGGACGGTCATGACGGGTACGGTACCTTACGCCCCTGCCCAGCCCTACAACTGCCCGTTCGGTGCAGTGCGTGCTTAGTCAGCAGACAATCGCCTTCTCTCATTCGATCGAATCACGCGAGCCCACCGCCCACCAATCACCGTCCAGGGATTCCACTCCGATAAAGAAAAATCCGGGAGATACGAGGGATACGAAGACTGCCAAACGGTCCACTCGCCACTCGCTCGCTCCTCGCCGAAGCCCCAGAGCCTCGCTAGCAGCTCGGCTAGGCGTTTATTTCTAATCATAGGCGATTCGATTCCAATAATGCTTTTGTCTGGCGTTAGTCTTTCGGATGGCGCTGCTTCCGAACCGCTCCATCAGTCGGGGCTCGACCAATGGTTCGCCGTGCTGGCGACCTGAAACGCTGCCGAATCCAGGCAATTGGGATCATGGATAACAAATACCCATCGATATTAATACATCCTCAACGCGAGGATCGAGAATTTCATGTGAACAGCTCCGTTGTCCTGTGCAGGAAGGTTACATCTGCCGTGGAACTGTTGTTGTGACGATGCGAGCCCGCTGTGTGAGGTTCGCGTAACAGCACGTTCTCTTATTTGGGGCCTCTTCTCTTTTCCATCTCTTTTTTTGTATCCTCCTCGTGAGACCTTCCCTCGCTCGGCATTCATGTAGGTGGCCGTCGTCCACCTCTCTTCATGGCACAACCACCGGCTCCCTGGGGGGCCCCCGGCGGCCTCTGCTGCCATCGGGACGGAGATTCACCAAGCCTTGAGCAAGACGCACCAGGACGAGTCCGACGATGTCCGCGAGACCTCGATTGGGGAGTCGACGACCCAGCCAAACTCCTCCGAGGACGACATGGGCGAGAAGCAGCGTGACAAGATCACCCAGCTAGCGCGCCAGCTCTCGCATCTATCGCAGCGCAGCAGCGGCATCCGGCCCGGTGCCGAAGGACGAGGAGATGAGCCTCCGAACCCGTTCCTCGACCCGGATGCCGATCCCGAGCTGAATCCCAACTCGGACAAATTCAACCACCGCAAATGGGTCAAGAATATCCTCCAGATCACCTCCCGCGACCCGGAGCGGTATCCGCGCCGCACGGCCGGCGTCTCGTTCCGCAATCTCAATGCCTACGGGTATGGAACCGCTGCCGACTATCAGATGAACGTCGCCAATCTGTGGCTGAAGGCCTTTGACTGGGTGAAGAGCGCGCTGGGGTACGGGAAGAAGGTGCGCATCGATATCCTGCGGGACTTTGAAGGATTGGTCCGGAGTGGAGAGATGCTGGTCGTGCTGGGGAGGCCCGGAAGGTGCGTATATAGCTCGGAAATGCGTCTGTTGAAGATCGTCACAGGCTGACGAGTAGGCCTCGCTTAGTGGTTGTTCAACGTTCCTCCGTACTTTGGCGGGAGAGACGCACGGTTTTTGGCTCGATCAGGGCACCGACATCCAGTACCAGGGCATCTCCTGGGACGAGATGCACAGTCGCTTCCGCGGCGAGGTCATCTATCAAGCGGAGACCGAAATCCATTTCCCCCAGCTGACTGCCGGCGAGACCCTGCTGTTCGCCGCCAAAGCCCGCGCTCCGTCCAACCGTCTCCCTGGCGTCAGTCGCGACCAGTATGCCCTGCACATGCGGGATGTCGTCATGACCGTCTTGGGTCTGTCGCACACCATGAACACCCAGGTCGGAAATGAGTATATTCGAGGCGTGTCGGGTGGCGAGCGCAAACGCATCAGTATTGCCGAGACGACTCTCTGCGGCAGTCCGTTGCAGTGCTGGGATAACAGCACGCGTGGCTTGGACAGTTCAACTGCCCTCGAGTTTGTCCGCACTCTCCGGACGTCCACCAAATACACGGGGTCCACCGCCGTCGTGGCCATCTACCAGGCCGGACAAGCCATATACGATGTATGTATGCCCTTGCACCCTTCTCATCCAGAAACAGCGCACTGACAGAGTCATCTTCAGATCTTTGACAAGGCCATCGTTCTCTACGAAGGCAGACAGATTTACTTTGGCAGTGCGGCCGATGCTAAGCGTTACTTCGTCGACATGGGCTTCTACTGCCCTCCGCGACAGACGACCGCCGACTTTCTGACCTCCCTGACCAACCCGGCAGAGCGGCAGGTTCGACCAGGCTTCGAAGGCCGCGTGCCCCAGACGCCTGACGAGTTCGCGGCACGATGGAAGGAGAGTCCCGAGCGCAAAGCCCTCTTGGCGGAGATCGAAGCCTTCCAGGCGGAATATCCGTTGGGCGGGGACAAGTATCAGGAATTTGTCAAGTCGCGCAAAGCGGAAAAGGCCAAGAGGACGCGCGCCTCGTCTCCGTACACGCTGTCCTATCCGATGCAGATCCGGCTGTGCCTGTGGCGAGGCTTCAAGCGTCTGAAGGGAGACATGAGCATGACTCTGGCGAGCGTGATCGGGAACACCTGCATGTCCCTGGTTATCTCGAGTATCTTCTACAACTTGCCGCCCGGGACCAGCAGCTTCTACCCCCGCGGGGCGCTGCTCTTCTTCGCCGTGCTGATGAACGCCTTTGCGAGTGCGCTGGAAATCATGACCTTGTGGCAGCAACGGCCCATCGTCGAGAAACACAACAAGTATGCTCTCTACCACCCGTCCGCAGAAGCCGTGAGCTCCATGTTGGTCGACATGCCCTCCAAGATCCTCCAGGCCATCGGCTTCAATCTGATTCTGTACTTCATGACCAACCTCCGACGCACGCCCGGCCACTTCTTTGTGTTCTTCCTGTTTTCGTTCTCGACAACCCTGACTATGTCGAACCTTTTCCGCTTCATCGGGGCCATCTCGCGCACCCAAGCGCAGGCCATGGTCCCCGCCGCGTGCTTCATGCTGGCCCTCATGATCTACACCGGCTTCACCATCCCGATCAGCGACATGCACCCGTGGTTCCGGTGGATCAACTACCTGAATCCCATCGGATACGCGTTCGAGAGCCTTATGGTCAACGAGTTCAGCGACCGGAAGTTCCCGTGCGACGCGTACGTGCCCATGGGTCCGGGCTATGAGAATCTCCCGAACAGCTCCTTCATCTGCAGCGGCACAGGCGCCGTCGCCGGTCAGCCTTACATCGATGGGGATGCGTACCTCAACAGCACGTTCCAATACTACCGCTCCCATATGTGGCGTAACTTCGGTATCCTGGTGGGTTTCTTCTTTTTCTTCCTCGTCGCGTACATCGTAGCCAGCGAATTCGCGACCGCCAAGCCGTCCAAGGGCGAAATCCTCGTCTTTCCCCGCGGCAAGATCCCGGCATTCGCGAAGACAGTCAAGAAGGGCGGCGATGAGGACCCCGAAGCGGCAGCGAAGCGGGAGAAGCAGACCGTGGCACAGGAAAGCCATGACCAGACAGCGGCCATTGTCAAGCAAACGGCGGTCTTCCACTGGCAGGACGTCTGCTACGACATCAAGATCAAGGGTCAACCGCGGCGCATCCTCGATCACGTGGACGGCTGGGTCAAACCGGGCACGCTGACGGCGTTGATGGGTGTCACCGGCGCCGGCAAGACCAGCTTGTTGGATGTGCTGGCGAACCGCGTTACGGTCGGGGTGGTGACCGGCGAGATGCTCATCGATGGGCGCCCGCGCGACGCATCGTTCCAACGCAAGACGGGCTACGTGCAGCAGCAAGATCTGCATCTGGAAACGTCGACCGTCCGGGAGGCGCTCCGGTTCAGTGCGCTGCTCCGCCAACCGGCCAGCGTACCGCGGGAGGAGAAGTTCGCCTATGTCGAAGAGGTCATCAAAATGCTAGGGATGGAGGAGTACGCGGAAGCAGTCGTCGGGGTGCTGGGCGAGGGTCTCAATGTCGAGCAGCGCAAGCGCCTGACAATCGGCGTCGAGATTGCCGCCAAGCCCGATCTGCTGCTCTTCTTCGACGAGCCAACATCCGGCCTGGACAGCCAGACGGCGTGGTCGATCTGCCAGCTCATGCGCAAGCTGGCCGACCACGGCCAAGCCATTCTTTGCACCATCCACCAGCCGTCGGCGGTGCTGATGCAGGAATTCGACCGGCTCCTGTTCCTGGCCAAGGGCGGCAAGACGGTGTACTTTGGCGAGCTGGGCGATAACATGAGCAAGCTGATCGAGTACTTTGAGAAGAACGGATCGCCGAAGTGTCCGCCAAACGCCAACCCGGCCGAATGGATGCTGGAAGTGATCGGAGCGGCGCCGGGTTCCCACGCCGAGAAGGACTGGACCGAGGTGTGGAAGGCGAGCCCGGAGCGGGCGGCCGTTCGCGAAGAGCTGGCAAGGATGAAGGCGGAGCTGTCTCAGAAGCCGCAGACGCCGCGTGAAGCTGGATATGGCGAATTCGCCATGCCGCTGTGGTACCAGTTTGTCGTGTGTCTGCACCGGATGTTCCAGCAGTACTGGCGGACGCCGGCGTACATCTACTCGAAGCTGGTTATGTGTGTGATTCCAGTAAGTCATGCCCACAGCAAGACATCCCCAGTCCGGAAACGTAAAGACGATGATAATGACTGACTTTTTTTTTACAGCCCCTCTTCATCGGATTCACCTTCTGGAGAGAACCGACCAGTCTGCAAGGCCTGCAGAACCAGATGTTCGCCATCTTCATGCTCCTGACCATCTTCCCCAACCTGACGCAGCAGATGATGCCGTACTTTGCGCGGCAGCGATCACTGTACGAAGTGCGGGAGCGCCCGTCCAAGGCGTATTCCTGGAAAGCGTTCATCCTCGCCAGTATCATCGTGGAACTGCCCTGGAACATGCTCATGGCCGTCCCGGCGTTCTTCTCCTGGTACTACCCGATCGGCTTCTACCGCAACGCCGAGCCGACCGACTCGGTCGTGTCGCGGGGCGGGACGATGTTCTTGCTGATCCTGCTGTTCCTGCTGTTCACGTCGACTTTCAGCTCGATGGTGATTGCGGGGATCGAGCAGCCGGAGACTGGGGGCAACATCGCGCAGCTTCTGTTTTCGTTCTGCCTGGTGTTTTGCGGGTGAGTAGCACGACGCATGTTTGCTGTAGTCGTTCGTTTCTAATCTTCATGCAGTGTCCTAGCGACCCCAACAGCCCTCCCAGGATTCTGGATCTTCATGTACCGAGTCTCGCCATTCACATACCTGGTCTCAGCAGTACTATCGACAGGCCTTGCACAGACGAAGGTAGTCTGCGCAGAGAACGAAATCCTGCGCCTCTCGCCGCCAGCGGGCCAGACATGCGCCGAGTTTCTAGGTCCCTACATGAGCTACGCGGGCGGACAGCTGCTAGACCCTCGCAACACGACGCAGTGCGAGTTCTGCAGCGTGGCGACGACGGACACGTTCCTGGCGCAGCTGGACATTTACTACAGCGACCGGTGGCGCAATATGGGGATCCTGTTTGCGTACGTCGGGTTCAACATTGTCGGGGCGATTTTCTTGTACTGGCTGGCAAGAGTGCCGAAGAAGAAGACGTTGAAGGAGAAGCAGCCAGCAGCGAAGTAGCTTTTTCGTTTCGAATATATATCTTATACTATTCGGTTAGAACTAGGTGGCAGTCTTTGTAGTTCTCAACTTGAATTATTGCAGTCAGTCAGCAGTCATATAGAGACATATAGCATAGCATATGGAAAGAGAAAGAGAGACAGAGAGAGAACATTAATCATAATTAACTATTTCGCTGACACGTTGGCGTTAGCATTGACATATCTAACATAACTCCTAGGGCTGGGGCATAGATTGATCAAAGGAAAGCAAACAAATAGCCCTAAATAAATAAAATAAATAAATAAAAATGATTGCTTCATATTAACTCACAAGGTAAGAGTAAAAAAATAAATAGTAGTAGGTAAGTAGTCTTCAGGAGTCACAACCAAAGATTATATATATATACACTACGGCCCCCTGTTTTCGTTTGTCTTTGACCTAGCTACTTACTCAACTCCTATTACCTAGTACCTACCTACTCCGGAGTAATGGACATGGCATGAATACCACCATACAATGGCCAAGGATGACGGCTTTCCCCCCCTTTTTTTCCTTTCCTTTTTTTTTAAAAAACTATTCTTATACAGTACGTAAATAACCCTATTCCTACTGTATATACAGAGTAGTAACAGCTTGAGTATGTCATACGACAAACAAAAGGAGCAAGATGGCGCCGATCACCGATCACCGATTGATTAATCACCGATCACCGATTCCAATTTATAATCCCAAATGCTAGCAACATCGAGTCAAATCAAATCAAATCAACATCGAGTAAAGGAAGGAAGAAAGAAGGAAAGAAACTATTTTGTCTGTTCTTGAGCAGGCATGTGTGTACTGTACAGTATGTACAGTACAGTACAGTACGTACTCTGTACTACTCTGCTCTGTACTACATACCTACATTATGTGCATGTAGCTACAGTATATAGTAGGGCCAAAGATCCTAGAAGGCGCTCAATCAATCGGTTGATCAATTGACTTACTTTACTATACCCCAGTGGATGTGAAGTAAGCATGTAAGCAAGCAAATGGGAATTAGAATGGTGATCGTCAGGAGACAAAGAAAGAAAGAAAGAAAGAACAGCAAACGAGAGGGTCAGATGGATCCAGAGGGTTATCCCCTCTATTATAATGGAAATAACACTTTTCGCGGACAATCTTGCTTACTAATACATTTCTGGCTACGTGATTGGTCAAAATGGCCTAAAAGTCACGTGAAAGCACTTTTACGTAAGCATCTGTCCACTCCTACAGCCCGCTATGGCCTGCAGCCTCCCCTATAGGGCCTACAGGCTTCATGCTGGCACCCTTATAGGCTTCATATTTACACCCTATAGGAGCCCTTATAAGTTTGCATTGGCACCCCTAGAAGGCTTTACACTGGCACCCTTAGAGGCTTTATTTATGCTGACACCCCTATAAGCTTTATAAGGCTTACATTACAGGCATGCGGAGGGCCGAAGGTCCGGAGCACTTAGGTATAAGCATTTAGGTATACTAGGCTTTATATTAGGCTATATAAGCTTTATAATGCCTCCCTTATAGGCCTCACTAGAGGCTTTATAAAGGCTTACATATATTACAGGCTTGCAGAGGGCCGAAAGTCCGGAGCATTTATAGGCATTAGTAAGCCTAGGTGTTCTTTACCCTTCAAGCCTAGACGAGCGGAGCGAGTCGTTAAAGGCTTGTAATAATCATCATACAATAACCCTTCTCTTTGGGGATTACTTAATTAGTGATCGTTTGTCTTTTTATATTTCTTTTTTTTAACGTCCACTAATGAAGATTTTCTCTGTTATCTGTCTATTGATTATCCTATCTATTCTAACTCTAGTATCAAATATATCCCAAGATAGAAACTAACCAAGAGGTGAGACCGT